CGCCCCCCTGCCTGTACCATGGGGCTGGGGGGCATTGGGTGTGAGCGGGCGGGGAGCCAGTGGGAGCACAGGGCCTGCACCAGTGTCCCGGGACCAATGCCGGTGGGGCCCAGAAAAGGGCAGCAGGAGCGTGGGGTCCCAGCTGGCAGGGGCTCTATGGTGCCGGGCCAGCTCCCCACTCCCTGCTGATGCAGCCCAGCCCAGCTCCACGGACCCCTGCCAGCCTGTGCCCTACTTTGGGCCCCACCAGTGCTGGCCCTGAGACATTGGTCCCAAGATATTGGGACATTGGTCCCAAGATGGTGACCAGGGGGTGGGGCACCTGTCAAGGGGCGGGGCTACCCATGCAGCCTTCAACAGCCTGCCCAAATTGGGTAAGCGGCCCTCCACTCAAAATAATTGCCCACCCCTGATTTAACTCCAGAGGACCTTTGACCTTGAGGCTCCCTTTCAGCCAGTTTCTTATCCTTACAATTATAGTATTAATCCCCATTCGTTTAATTTTAACTGGTAATTTCCCACAGGGCACAGAATCAGATGATATGCTTAATCTAGATGGATTTGTCCACTGGATTGCATTTATCCAAGAGGTCAGTTACCCTGTCAAAAAAGGATATTAGACTTGCATGGCATGCTTTGCCATGGATAGAACTATGTTGCATTTTGCCTGTTTTTCCCCCCTTTAATATTCTTGATTATTCCTAACTTCAGTATCTGCACTGAGATCTTGCATAATTCAGAAATCAAACTAACTGGCGTGTAATTGCATCTGTCACTTTCTTTTGTTACTGAATACTGGCAGTGTGTTTACTGTTTTCCAAGCATAGGGTACTATCTCCAAATTAATAGATTCACTGAAGACTCATGCAACAGGAGTTGCTATTTCAAGTATCGGTTCTTGAGATGTATATTTTTTGCCCCCTGAGTCCTCCAGTTTCATTGCAGAGAGATCTAAGGTTTTGTTCCATTAATTTCCATTATCATATCCTCATTTCCCCTTGGTACCTACCATTATCTTCATTTATAGTGCCATCTTAGAGAATAAAGCAAAGTACAGCAAAAGCTTTGTTATCCGGCACCCATATGGAATGGGGGGTTCTGGGTAACCAAATATGCTGGTTACCTTTGCCTGTTCTGGCCGCCACCTCTCCTGCTGTGTCCAGTGTGCTGCCACCCCTCCTGCTGCATCTGTGTGCCAGAGGGAATAGGAAGCGGGGCCCCACACAGGCTGCTATGCCCTGGGCTGTGGGGGCTTGGCAGCGCAGGCTGCTTTGCCCCAGGCTGTGGGGGCTTAGTGAAACTGGAAGTACCATGGTGGGCACTTCTGGTTTTGCTTTTACCTTACAAGCCAGCATGCCAGTTAATAGAGTATGCTGGTTTGTAAGGTGCTGGATAACATGGCTTTTACTGTATTTATTCGGTACCTGAGTGACACCTAGTTTACCCTTAGTCTTCATTTTCCCCGAAATTTATTGTGGTCCCACTTCCTCCATCTTCCCTCTCATTCTTTCTTATTTATGTAACTGAAGAACATTTTGATGTTCATCTTAACTTTGCTGGCAAAATCCAGCTCAAACCTTTGGCTACGTACATTTTATTTCTGTATTTTCTGACCTCTGAAAGATAGCTCTCATTGTTGATCAATCTCTTCTTTCATTTCTTATAGATTCTCAGCTTATTCTTAATATCCATTTTAAGTTGCATGTTCAAGCTTTTTTTGGTCATGACAAGTAATAAATTGTCTATCTGCTTAATCTGCCAAGAGTCTGTTGAGGTTTCACCAATACAGTTGAAGGTAAAATTGGCTCCCAATTGAAACTTGTATTCTTAGATTTCAAAAGGACTAGAGCTTTAGCTTGGAACCTCATAAATCTTGGAGCAGGACTTCTTAATCTGGTCTTAATATGATTTCCGCTAGCTTCACCGGAGCTTTTCTTGAACTTTTGCTTTGGTCTGTATGAGTGTTACCATAATTGTTACCTAATTTTATCAGCAAATTAAATGTAAAGTTCATGGGCCAGGAGAATTGAGTAGTCTAAGCTGACTTCAAGAAGGTGAAATTACCTGTTCCCTGTATAATTTGTGTATTGTTGTTGAACTTGTGATTGCTATTAGTAGTAGTAATTACTATTCATATATTTTACAAAGTAGTAGTCATTGTTATTTATTATTAGAGGTACGCTGATGCATGGTCTAATATCGGATCAGCACCAATATAAAGAAAATTGACTATATCAGAAATCGGCCTGTTGTGGCAGAAAATTTGGCCGATAAATGCCTGTGCGCGCAGCTGTAGCGCAGCATGCTGCAGCGAGGAGCACAGCCCAGCAGCTTAGAGAGCTGCAGCCAGCTGGTAAGTCTGTTGTGGTAGATGGGGAGGGGTAAGGGAAAGGGTCTGGAGGGGACAGATCAGTGCCCCCCACAGTGAGGGAGTGAGTAGGGCTGGGGGCTGGGGTAGGCGCTGCCCAGCTAGGGTGGAATGGGGTGCGGAATGGAGCCACGGCTCGTCCATGGGGTGTGGGAAAGGGGAGCAGCTCTCACCACTGCACGCAACCCAGGAGGGCACGGCGGGGGGCGGCGCATGTGCCCCAGATCAGCACGGGGCAGGGCAGGCTGCAGTTGTGGGGGATAGGGCTGGGCTGCTCTGCACTTGGGGCAGGCAGCAGCAGTGCTGGGAGGGAGTTGGGGGGTGGGGCTGCAGCGCAGCCCAGCCCTAACCCCACTGGCAACAGTCCGGCGCAGCCCCCAGCTCTGTTTGCAGCTGCAGCTTGCCCTGCCCTTCCCTGCTGAAATCCGGGGACACTTGCCCCCCCGAGTCCATGCCCTCCCAGGGTGCATGTCACAGGGGAGCTGCATGCCCTCCTTGGACGAGCCGCGGCTCCATCCTGCACCCCACCTTGCCCCGGCTGGGCAGCGCCTACCCTGGCCCCTGTCCTACTCCCTCCCTCACCGCGGGGGGCATTGATTTGCGCCTCCCCCACACACACACTCCTTTCCTCCCCCTTCTCCAGCCACCACAACAGACTTACCAACTGGATGCAGCTGTATCGGAAGTTGGATCAGTAATGGCCAATATGCCTGCTTAAAAATTGGCTATCAATATCAGCCCCCCAAATTTCCATTGGTGCACCCCTATTTATTATGTTTTATTTGTATTGTTGTAAAGGCTCCAACAGTAAGTCAGGGCCACGTACTTAGGAATATACAAACAAAAAAAACAATTCTCGTGAGAGTTCTCATTACAGATTGAACTATATGATAAAAGGCATAACACTTGAACGAAATATACAATTGCCAAAGTTATTTTTAATTACTATATATTATAATAAAAGACTTTTCAATGTTGTAGAAATACAGAAAGAATTGCCAAGGAGTTTCAAAAAGGAATAGGCAAGCAGTTACACCAAGATCTTGTTGACCTAGATAAAAAGAATAAGTATACGAGTTATATATCAGGTTTGTTTTTCCATTTTCTTACCATCCTCATAGTTCAGATATTTTGTTTTTAACAGAATCATGACTCCCTGTTGAAACTTGCTATTGAAATGCTTGGATTGCTTTTTCTGCTTCTGTTTAGCAGTTACTCTACTTTTCTATTAAGATGGTTAAATTTTTATTTGACTTTAATAGCAACATTTCAACTAATTTGTCTTGTTAATTTAAAATATTTTATTTGAGTTGGTACTTTTCTTTACAACTTAATGTTGGACTTTCTCTCTTTCAGAGATAAGGTCCTATAACACTCTAGCAGCCCCCTCTACTTAGATAACTAGTCCCTCACCCTGTTCCCTAATCTACTTTCTGAAAGTCTGGGTCCTCCGTCTTCCCAGGCTGTGTGTAAGGAAAGATACTGTATAACATGGGGTGTCTTTTGCTATGGCAGAGACCCTCTTTCTTACTTTCCTCAGAAAATATTGGTCTTCATTCCTAGTCCTCTACTGCCAAAGCTAGTATTTGATATAGATTGTTTGGGAAATAGATAAACACAAGCTTTGCATTCTAGCATAGGTATTTCTATGGCAACTGTTACCTTGGTATCTCAGAACCAGAGGATTGGGAGCTTTATAACTTGGGATGAATTCAATTCCTGGTGTCACTTCACAGATTTCAGGAGAGTTACCTAATATGTATTTACTTATTCCGTGTTTAGTACAATGACATGTCCTTCTAAAAGTTTAGATTTACAATGGAAATTGAAATTAAAAAGAAATGGGTTGCCTTTTAAAAAAAACTCCTTATGCTTGTATATTTTTAAGAGTACTCATTATTTTTTGCTTTGACTTTTTTTACTAATTTGAAACTGAAATAATTCAGTAAAGTGACTAGATGCTATATGTAAATATGTAAAATATATATATCAACATGCTAAAATTATATTGTTATGCATTGAGTTTTTACTTTTATGTTTTGTAGGTCCTTGGTTTGATATGTATCTATCTGCCAGAGAACCTGTTGTTTTAAACTTCAACCCTTTTATTTGTTTAACTCCTGATCCAAAAGAAGCATACAACAAACAGCTACTGAGAGCTACAAATTTGGTAGTATCATCCATAAAATTTCTCAACTCTCTAAGGAGTAACTGTTTACGGCCGGATATATATTATGTCAACCCCAAATGGAGCAAGAGTAGGCCCTTCAAACACTTCATTCGCTTTCTTCCATCTTCTGTGGCTTGGTATGGAGCACTTCTGGTAAATGCATATCCACTAGATATGTCACAGTACAAGTGTCTCTTCAACAGTTCCAGAATTCCTAAATTAAACAAAGATGAACTGTTTACAAATGAATGTGCAAGACATTTGTTGGTAATGAGAAATGGTCACTTTTATATTTTTGATGTTTTGGATCATCTTGGTAACATTCTGCATCCATCTGAAATTAAGGCTCATTTGCTTTATATTTTGCAAGATGCAGATCACTTGCCTGAATCTTCCCTTTGTTATTTAACCACCGAAGACAGAAATACTTGGGCAAAAGTAAGACAACAGCTTATCGAAGTGGGTAATGAAGAAAACTTAATGAAAATTGATAGTGCAGTCTTTTGCCTATGTTTAGATAATAGTTCCCCAAAGGATGATGATGAGCTTTCACATTGCATGCTTCATGGAAATGGTTTCAATCGCTGGTTTGACAAATCTTTTAGTTTGATTGTCACTTCTGATGGCACTGCAGGGATAAACTTTGAACATTCTTGGGGAGATGGAGTTGCAGTCCTTCGTTTTGCTAATGAAGTACATAGAAACAGTACAAGGCATCCAGCTGTTGTACCACAGTCTGCACTAAGTGCTGTAAAGTGTGAGAGACTGGAGTTTAAATTGAATGATTCAGTAAAATCTGCTATAAATACAGCACGTATGAAATTTGATAAAACAAAGCAGAAAATGTTTGTGAGACAGTTCAGATTCCAGAAGTTTGGAAAAGAATTTATAGTGAAGCAAAAGCTGAGTCCAGATGCTGTTTTTCAGCTTGCATGTCAGATAACTGCTTATCGACAGTATGGAAAAATGGTTTCTTGTTATGAAGCATGTAGCACGGCTGCTTTTAAACATGGCCGTACAGAAACAATTCGACCTACATCTGTACTGTCACAACAGTGTTCTCGTGCGTTTGTTGAAGAACGGAGCAAACGCGCTGTGGCAGAACTGAGAGACTTGATTGACAAATGTTCAAAGTACCACAGACGGCTACAGCTGGAAGCTGCATTAGGTTAGTTCCATACCCATATGATATATTACTTCTATCTAAGGTTTTGATATCCAAGGAACTTTCAGAATTGGTCCTTTTTTGTAGATATAAGTCACGATCCTGATCCCTGCTGTTACAAATGCAGCTACAAATGAATTTTTTAATGTGTGGTTCTGCTGTTTTCATTTCCTCATGACCTGTAGAGTGTCAGGAACCGTGGCATTTTTAAAGGTGAATTTTGCTTATTTTTAGCTTTAAAATATCAAGAATATCAATTCTGATTTGCTGTATGACTTACCAAGTATCATGGAAGACATTCAGTTTTAGAAGCTAAATGTGAACTGAAGGAACTAGATTTTTTGATTCGTTAATGAAGTTTCATTCAACTTAGTTTTACACTTAAGTTAAATAAATGTTAACAAAAACAGATTCTTTGAAATCTAACTGAAAGTACCCTCTATTCTCAGTTGTCCATCTTTCAGTCCCTTGTTCCACTTGCCATGTAATTTTTGGTGATAAATGCAATCTAAATTTTGAATGTACAAAGGGGCAAAAATCAAAGCCAACATTTTCCCCCAGCAACACAACATAACATTTTTGAACCGGAGAGAGAGGAAACGTTAAATTACTAAGAAGCAAGAAAGGTTCCAGCTCATTTTTCCCATGTCCCTCCTGCAGGACACTTTTAAGAGATCCTGTTCTCTGTGCTGTCCATTCACTGTTTAAGAACTATAGTTCTGTTTTCTTCACATGCTGTATAAAAAACTAGCGAAGAGTGGCAAAAAATAAGGGATGGGGGAAGAGGAAACATAGAATATATAGGAAGGAGATGACATTTACCAATAGATAAAAGGAAAAATCATAAAAATATGTAGAAGCAGAAGCAAAATACTGAGAGTTAAGCACTGTGGGTGCCTGTACACAAGTGCAGAGATTATTCCAATGCGCTGTAATTACCATGCTCCAACAGCCTCCTGCATCTCAAGTATCAGCATACCCGGGTTTAAAAATGGCTTGTCAAACAAGCCCTTGATGCCATTTTTAAGTGTGGGGACACTGATACACAAGATGCAGTGGCACTTCAAAGAGCCACTCTAATTAAAGCACTGCTCCCCTTCCCCCACCCCTGGAGCAAATAAAGAAGTGCCCTGAGGTATTTGGATATGAAATTCATGTAGGGAGAGCTGTTCCTTGTTTATTCTTCAAGTTAGAAATTCCTCAGGACATGTCCCCATCACATTTCTTTGTCAAGCATCATAGTTCTGTGTAGTGACTAATATACCCGGATTTCCACTGCAAGTCATTTTGTTTTCCTTTTGAACTAAATGTTTCTGAGCAATATCCCAGCAACCAAGAGAAGACAGAAATATATGGGGAAGTGCTTCATGTTCAGTTAGGGTTCTTATAAACAGAATATAATTTGGACTTTATATGTGATGTTTTTAACATTCCTTTTATTTTTAGAACTTTAAAAAATAATTACATGTTAGTAATGCTATGACAAAATAAGCCTGTGGAGTTTCTGGGGAAAATAAAAACATGAGTATTCAAAGGTAAGCTCCTAACTCCTTAAACAGCCTAGTTAGATGTTGTTACTGTATTTGGATTGCTGGGTACACAGTACCTTCTTTTGATGTCTGCAGAACTATCTGAACAAGGATGATGCTCGTTAGGTCATTATGAGTAAGAAACATATGACAGTGTCAATTTTGAATGTAACATTGTATGTCTCTCCTATTTTAACTAAGACAAAACAATAAATAGCTCATCAATTAAAATGAAATAAAATATTAGAGCATACTGATACTGTTTTAAACTATTTGAATCTAAAAGTTTAAAGGAAGGTTCTGTATGTTGTACTTGATTAATAACGTTATATGTTCTCTGTATTCATAATGCATTATGAACTTTTTTGGTTTTATAGGCAAAGGATTTGATCGCCACTTATTTGCACTGAAACATCTTGCAGCATCCAAAGGTGAACATATGCCTGAATTTTTTCTCGACTCAGCCTATCAGAGAATAAATCATAATATCCTTTCAACTAGTACATTACACAGTCCTGCAGTACATCTTGGTGGATTTGGGCCAGTGGTGCCAGATGGCTTTGGAATTGGGTATCATGTATTTGATACGTGGTTAGGATGTAACGTAACTAGCTATTTAGATAAACAACAACAAGAATTTCTGAGCTCCCTTGAGCATAGTTTAAATGATATTTTAGATGTGTTGGAGGGAAATCCTCTTGCGTAACATCATAAGTGATAAGCAGTATCAATACTTTTAAACTAAATTCTGATCAATAAAAATAATGGTGCAAAATTTTAAAGAATCTAATAATGAGCACAAACACTTGGAAATGTGGCAGATGAAGATGGTAATTATAAACAAAAATGTGAGCCATTTATATTTCAGTGGACTGACAAGATGTTCTCCATTCTTGGCATGTCTCTTATTTTGTTGTTTCTGGGATTTTGTTTTTCAATTTTATTAAGGCCTTTAAGAAGCATTTTTGCAGATTTTTTTCTGATTTCTTCCTGTTCTAGTGAAATCTATTAATTTATGGTTGTGTGGGTTTTTTTCATTCTCCTGTTTATATTTTACAGTTGTATTATTTTGGCATAGTGCTGTACTATGTCTTCATTGTTGTGCATGTTCAAATATGCTTGTTAAAATAAAAGTTTAACTCCTTCACTACAGGAAACATTTTGCTGACTATGCCTCAATTATTATAGAGGCCAAACATTTTATGGATTTGAATGCTGACATGATGCTTCTGTTACAAATTGTAGTTTTTATGGGCTAGTTGAATATTTCCTTTTAAAAGTAAATATATGTTTTGGTTAAATTACTAGGAAACATTAGTTACACCTGTTATCAGCCCCAAGAGGATTAATTCTGCTTGGTTTACTTATGCAAGTACTTGTGCACCCTGGCCTTTAAGACCTAGAATTGAACCCAAGGTTCTTGAGTGTTACCATTCCTTTGTGGTCAGCAAATAACTGAAAGCCAGTGTTATAGTAGACATTTCATCTCCTCCTAGTGCTGTTCTACATAGAGGATTACCACCTACTACTACCTGTTTATTTCATTTGTTCAACTAGCACAGGTCTGTGCTGGGATCTAAAAGTTTCAAAACTGCTCATGTACCATGTAGGTGTTGGTAGTATTTCATGTAACATATTTCTTTCAGTTGTTTGATTTTTTTCACCTATGAAATTATACAAAAAAAGTCTGTTAATGTTAAGGTTTCAAAATTAAGTACTCAAAGAAATTTAAAAATGTTGAAATTAAAGTTGTGTGCGCAAAGTTAATTCATTCCTCTGAAGTCATGATATGTAAACACTATCTTCATTTACTTGAGTACATTGTTATATTTTCCAGGGGACTTGTGCCTTTTTCAGGGACTAAGATGAGCAGTGCTCTGAGGATGACCCATGGCTATGTGCCATGAGTAAACTGTTGTCGTTTTTGATGCAGAAGCATATGCTACTGAAATACGGGTGTGATGAGCAGCTGCTAAAATGACCGCTTTGGGACATGATCAACTGGGTGTAGTTGTGAAGTTGACTTCCCAGAATGATATTGCTCATTCTTTGTTCCCATCTTTTCCTTCCAGGCCAACTTGAGTACTGCTCAGCCAGAACAAAGAGTATTGGTGCTTGTGCACATGACACTATTACCATGTACATGTGATGAAAATGTCACTTTGCGTGGCTTAATGGCATCACACTACACTTGCAAGAGTTTTGGGGGTTTTAAATGAGTTTGCATTGTTGCAAACTAAACTACCTGCCAATGTAGTTCAGCTTGCAGCGATGCATTGCAGTTATTAGTCAGCTCACCCCGCAGCTGCAGAAGAGGTGGGTAGGCTCTGCGGAGGGAAAGGATCAGGCCCTCACCACTTCTACCTTCAGCAGGCACGTACTGAAGGCAGAAGTGACAAGGGGCCTGATCCTTTTCTTTTTTTGGCGGACCCTGCCCACTTCTCCTGCAGCCGGGAGGGTGAGCTGCCAGCGAGCTGAACAGCCCTTAAGCTGCGGGGGGGGCCCTGGTTCCTTCCCTCCACTGTGGCGGCGCCACCTGGGCAGACTGTTAGCGGGCCAGGTGCTGCCCCAGCTTGGGGTCAGGGAAGAGTTGAAGCGGGGTGGGCGGCAACGACACCAGGGGCCCCAGTAGCTCAGGGGCCGCTCAGCCTGCTGTCAGCTCACCCTCTGGCCAGGTGCATTCTCTGCCAGGGAAAACAATGATCGGGCCCCTTCGCTGTAACAGTGACAGAAAAATAAAACCCCACCGTTTCAATTTAAAAAACTCAACATTAGACTCCTCTGCACAGCACTCAGGGCAAGTGACTTGATTGATTAATTGCATCTTCCTGCTATAAATAGCAATGTAATAAGTCTGAATGAGGTGCAAACAATTGAACCAAGCTGTTCTAGCATAAAGTAACCACTTAATTTGACTTAAACTATGCCTTTAAGATAGTACAGTTGGAGTATTGTAGTCATGATAGTCCAGGAAATGTCAGAACCTAGGATGTTTTGTGATATCTTTTACTGGACAAACTATGGGTAGGAGAACTGGACAAGCTTTCAGGGACCAAATGCCCTGTATTCATGTATGTCACTTTTATCACTGCGTCAATTATGTTTTGCTGTCTGCATGCGTTTGTACATTTTGGGGACATAGTTTAGGTAAAGGTTATGTCCAGATCTCTGATTAAGAGCTGTTATATCAAAGGAACTGAGGAATGTCTGTCTAAGGAAAAGAGAGAAGGTGAAGCTTTCAAGCATCTCTTGCTTAGTTTGTTACTAGAGCAAGAACAATTGCCACTCCTAAACACAGGCAGAAAAGGCTATTATTGGAATGGCATCCAAGATGCTGTCTGCCTGTAATGGTAAAAATCAGCCCGTAGCAAAGGCATCTCAAGGAAATGGGCCATTAGGTAGGAGACTTACAGGTGTCCCAGGAAGGAAGAATTTTCTGCAGAATGCTGAAACTTTTCAACAAAGTGAACAAAGCTGGTTGAGGGGTGCTGCTTTGGAGGTATTTAAGATCTATTTGTGAGGTAGTAGTGATCTTTAGATTATCCCAAGGCTTGAGATGAGAGTCCCTGACCCTAGTGGTCAGGACTCGGCAGGGTTAGCAGGAAAGCTAATCTCTGGAAAGACTGATAGGATTCTCTGATAGGTTGTAGCAGATGAGAGGATAAGAAACGTTTTTTTGTTCTGTCTTCAAATTATGTGGTTGTTTTTTCCTGTATGATTCTTTTCTTTGGTATAATAAATCCTTTTGTTGTTTGGTTGCCTGTGGTAAAGTGTGATCTCAGGGCAGGTGGTACTTTGCAGAGAGGGGGACTGAAGGAAGGCTCTGTCATGACCCAAGGAGAAAACACCTAGAGTCAGCAAAGATTCCCCTTATTGCATCTGTGGAGTCCAGTACAGGGCAGCAGAGCAGAGGCTTACACAGGGATAAGGCGTTATCCCAGGGAAAACCTTGGTCTTTTCCTTTAGACAAGCACTGGGATAGTGAGGAGAAGCTTGGGGCTCCACAGGGTATTGGGTGAGTCTGTGACAGTGTTATGTTGGCTATCTTCAAATATAAATTAAAAAAAAAAGACGATTACATGTGACAAGTCAGTTTTCCTTAGATGCCAACAAGAGTTTTGGTACAGCATATTAAATCCTTTCTTAGGAAGTCTTCAACAAGTAAGCAATAAGCCATGAATATAGTGGGATATTTCTACACTTGTTTTTAGGAAAGATGCCTGAAACTGAAACCCTAATGGTATAAGAAAAGGTCCACTGAAAACAGTGGGAGACTGGTAGTAACGCTGTTAGTTGCTATATATTTGTTGCTACCCAGGCATTGTTCTAATGGAGTTTTTAATTCATCTAGTTTGAGAGTTTGTCAGATGTTATCAGAGGTTAGGACAGGCAGTTACTGATAAAACGGGTAGAGATTTGAATTAATAAATGGACAAAATTCTTAACCCACACAGTTGTCTTCATGAGTCCAGTGGCAGGTAACGAGACAGTCTTGCAACAGTTCTTCAGACTGTACTTTTCCTATGGCTTTGTTGTACCTTACCTGACAGTTCCCAAATGCAAGTTTGCAAAGTACCTTCATTTAAAGTCCTTAAAAAACATCCATAGTAGAGAAATATAGCAATCCTCAGTTTCTGGTATTTCCTAATATTGGCAGTCTGTTAAACCAATGCAGGTATAATGAGAACTATTTGAATCTTATTGCTGCCTTTAATGGCTCCAGTCATATTTTCGAGCATTGGTCTGTGACACAACATGCTGTTCACTTGGAGAGCTGATCTGAGAGCTCCAGGATTCCTTGTCTGGGAGACAGATACACCAGAAACCATAAGCAGCTGAAGCCCACTTATTTTCCAGAACAAGTATGGTACAAAAGAAGCTAAAGACTTGAACTGAATATTTTTATCTCAAACAGGGTTTGGCAACCTGGGGCCCATGGGCTGGATCCAGCCTGGAGAGCTGTAGCATTTGGTAGTGAGGGGCTTTTTGATACATAGCACCACAGCTGGGCACAGAGGGCTTCAGCAGAGGGTAGCTCTGCTTGCGCCATCTCACTGCAGTCTGGTGGCTGGGTCTTAATGCTGGCCTACTTCATACCTAAACTGGGTTATACCTGCCTCCTGCCAAAAAGCATTGCCAATCCCTGATCTTGAACATGGAGACAAGAAGCCAGCTGTTTTACTTAGTTTCCAAGTCAGGAATTTTGGGCTCCCTTTTGCCTTTATTTTGAAGTGAGATTTTAGGACTTGGTTTGGGTACATGGCAAACATTAATTTTTATTTTCAGACTTGAGTTCTGTTTTTTTTCCTCTTAACTCAGACCCCAAATTAACTAACATAATTTCTACCTTGGTTTCCATACTGTAAAATGGAAACTGTGACATGGGGATTATGCCACTCACCCACAGATTTAATCAAACATTCTTCTGAACGTGCTGGACTGTTAGTAGAACAAAGCCACCTAGTCATATGTAATAGCCTTGCTTGTCCAGATCTGGCTTTGTACCTTTACCTTGCTAACAAAATAGTAAAAGAGCAGGATGTAAAACACTTTCTTCATAAAGGATCTACAGGAAATGTGACTATTTACCTTACAGCTTCTGAGAAGTTGCATGATTTCTTAGGAAATAATATATTGTAGATGCTACATGTATGCATCAGAAGCTAAGCAGGTATCTAAGCGATCAACTGTGCTGTCATAAAGGCTCCCTGTGTGGTTACAGTGATGTGGATGTGTTGAGTCATTTGTGATATAAGAAACCAGTTAGGTTAGTCATTGGCGGTATCTGAGAACTGGAGGGAACTCATCCCAGATCCAACATGCCTATTAAGCCAATTGGGTGGCTATGTGGACAGGTGATAAATAGATTTGCTGGACAAGGTATGTGATCTTATTTATGAGACTCTTATTATTCCTTTCCTGTCCCACCCTTGCCATTCTTTTGTTTTATTCAGAGATTTTGATTTCAGTCTTAAATTGCTGCTTTCATCCCAGCTTATGTTCTCCAGAGAATAGCTGTGGACATTATAGATGACATTAAGGATGAACTTCCAAACATAGTAAAATGGAAACCATTAAACCAGGTAAGGGGTCTGTTTTACTGTCATTAACACTCTGACAACAGATTTTCTCCTTCTGGTGTTTCAAAACCAAACAAAATGTGTTTTATCTGCCATAAGTTATTTTTCCTTGAGGTAAATAACTTGCACTCTCTTGGCTAACTCAGATCAGTTGTTGGCCAATATTCCAAGATAAAATACCTTATCATCAAGTCAGAAAAGGACTTGAAGGCACAGATCCTCAAAGATGTTTAAGCACCTAGTACTGGATTTACACAGGAATTTGCTGTTTGAAGCCTGGTGGCATTCTCAAATTAGGTTATATACCTCCAGGCCCAGGCATTTTCAGAATAGACCTATCAAGTAAGAATATACACAAAACACAAGTTGTAGGAAATGGTCCCTTCATTCTTTATAACCCAATGTTAGAGCACTCTCCTAGGCTATCACAGACAAGTTAAAATCCCTCTTCTAAGGCCATAGGTTATTATATTGGGGGGTTTGTTACTCTTCTTTTAAGATGTTCAATTTTGTGTAAAATGAGCCCTGTTTGACCCAGTTAATATTTGCATGAGTGACCTCATAGCCTGGAGCTTAGAAAACATGCGGAAAGCTGGTTTCAAATCCCTGCTCTAATGTATAGCCCAGTGATTCTCAACCATGGTGCCCTGTGATCTTTTCAAGGGTGCTGTGGGGTGCCACACAATGGCACTGTTAGGTATGCAAACAAGATTCACAAGATAAATCCAGAGATTTCTAATAGGAATCCATAGTGTTAAAAAAGCATTCTTACCTGTTGCGGCCCTTCTGAGTTTTCTGCAATAGAAGCATTGCTCTGTTATTTTTCTTTTGTTAAAAAACAAGTGAAAATTTGAAACTGGCATTTTCCAAGGGGTGACATGAGTTAATCAAGGGTTGTCTTGAGTCTAAAAAGGTTGTGAGTCTCTGGTATAGGCAAAGGAATGCCTACTTTTTTAATCCTAGTCAGGGTTAGACTCAGAATTGCTTGATGCCATCAAGATTCAGTTGGTTTTGCACATGTCCATCAGCAGAAACTTAAGAGGCTGACAGCATTAGGTGGCATGGTGAGCTAGGGTTTTGAGATCTCAGTGGCACCTAAAATAGACACATCCCTTTAAGCTAAGATAACCATGGGGACTGCTCAACATCTGGCCCATTTAGTAGTGATACATCAGGACTGAGGCCTAGTGCAAGGTCTTGTTAGCAGCCAAAAAGGCAGGAATGGCTCTGGATAGCCACACTCGAGGGGAGACATAGTGGAGGAATTCTTTTCCCTTTCTGGTCATGAGTTGTTTGGACCATGACCCACATTGTGCAGGGAGTGACACAGGCTTGGAAGGGACACCATGTTGGCCCAGAAGGGACCTGGTAAACTCTCAAGAACTGTTGGGGTACACAGTGATTTTGATTGCTCAGGAAGGAATAGGGGTCTCTATTGCACCAGACCACAGAATGACATAGACCAAGGTCTGCAACCTTTTGGAGCAATGGGCCAGGTGCTTGCAAGCCAACTGCGCTACAGGCCACCACTGCCCTCCGGTAGGGGAGAAGGGGGAACTAGGTGGCTACTGATGTCAGAAGACAGGGCAGGGGAGGGAGGGAGGAAGAAAGCTTACCTCTAGTGCTTGCCATAGGTGGGGGGACAGGTGGGCAGAGAGAGAGCTCACTTCCAGTAAGCATCACCTGCCTAGGGGAGGAAGAGAGCAGGAAGGGCTGTGGAGGGGTTTGGTAGCATGGTACAGAGTGGAGAAGGGATGTGCTGGGGTGAGTCGCATGCTGCTGACTGGGCTGTATCACAGGCCCAGATCCAGTTACTTCCCAGGCTAAGCCCAACCTGCAGGCCATAGGTTGCTAACCCCTGACAACTGTATAGAGTCATGCAGAGACAAAGGGCCCTACTACAGCCACCTGGTTTAAGTGGGTCCTAATCTGGATTCAGATTAGGGAGTGGAATAGCCTTATTCAAGCCAGTTTAGATTATTTGTTTCTTCATTGATTTCTGTAAGTTAATCACAGTGTCAGAGTTTGATACCTATGCAGTGCTGTAGGCCAGAGATTCTCAAACTGTGGTCCATGGACCACCACTGGTCCGTGAGGTCCATTCAGGTGGTCCGCGGAAAGGTTGCAGAACAATCAAGAGTATCTGTACTTGTAAGGTAAGACTGCTGATATTAAAATATGAGTTGTGTGCTTTGATTTGTAGAACAAAAAAAAGTTTATTAAGTGGTCCACCGAGACCCTCAGCAATTTTCAAGTGGTCTGCAAAAAAAAAGTTTGAGAACCTCTGCTCTAGGCTGATAGAGTGTTAACAAAGCTGGGGGAGGCCAATACTTTTCAAGTCTTACACCAGTAAACCCTAATGATCCTATCCACCCTATTATACATAGGATGTAGTGAGGAGTTCCTCACACTCAGGTAGGCTTCTGAAGCCTCCTGCTACCCTCCTGGGACACTCATAGTTTCATAGTTGGTAAGGTTGGAAGGGACCTGAGCAGATCATCAAGTCCGACCCCCTGCCATGGGCAGGAAAGAGTACTGGGGTCAAACGACCCCGGCGAGGTGTTCATCCAGCCTCCACTTAAAGACCCCCAGGGTAGGAGCCAGCACCACTTCTCTTGGAAGTTGGTTCCAGATCCTAGCTGCCCTGACAGTGAAGAAGTGCCTCCTCATATCTAGCCTAAATCTACCCTCTGCCAGCTTGTGACTGTTATTTCTTGTCACTCCTGGTAGTGCTTGGGTGAACAGGGACTCCCCAAATGCCTGCTGGTCCCCCCTGACCAGTTCGTAAACGTCCACTAGATCCCCTCTTGTGGAGGCTGAACAGGTTCAGGTCCAGGTCCCTTAACCTCTCCTCGTAGGGCCTGCCCTGCTGACTCCTGATCAAGCGGGTGGCCCTCCCTTTGACCCTCTCCATGTTGTCCACATCCCTTCTGAAGTGCGGCACCCAGAACTGGATGCAGTACTCCAACTGCGGCCTGACCAGTGTTGCATAGAGGGGGAGGATCACCTCCTTGGACCTGCCTGAGATGCATCTGTGGATGCATGACAAGGTACGGTTGGCCTTCCTGACCGCGTCCCCACACTGTCGGCCAATGTTCATTTTGGCATCAATAACGACTCCCAGATCCTTTTCTGCCTCTGCACTGACAAGAAGGGAGTTCCCCAGCCTGTAGGTATGCTGCTGGTTCTTCCTCCCCAGGTGCAGTACCTTGCACTTATCAGTGTTGAAACCCATCCTGTTCTCATCTGCCCACCCCTGTAACCTGTC